TGAGGACATCAGTTTAAAAATACGTGTTGGGACTTAGTTGCACTTGTCCTTAAATGCCTTGTTTATGTCCTTAAAAAACTAATTTATACTCACAGTTTTACGTTATACATTGCTGTGCACTTTTGTCACCTTGATTGTTATTGGATGGGCAATTTGCAAGCGGGTATTTTGATATCATAAGGCAACGAAGACATGGAGGCATTACGTTTATCCTTAGTTCAACTTCTTGTTATATCAAACCAATCTTTTTTACTTTCATTTTGTATATTTAACGAGTTTAATTCTTAAGGCTATGCAGTCACAAAATAGTTCTCGTGTGGCGAATATTTGAACATTCTTTGTTGCTATAATCCACAGCGAACATTAATGCTAAAACAGAGAATGATCTGTGTCAAATGCCGACCATAAAAGTTGACTAAAATATCAAAATACGAGACCTTAGACGGTTGAGATGCTCGATGGATTTCGACCTAATCGGAATTTAATACCAATCTAAAAGCGTCTGAATATTATTTGAGAAAATAAAAATGGGCCGTTGAATTTGTAGGTAAAATAATTACCTAAATTGTTTAAAACTATAATTTTGATTAATTCTTTCTATTTCATTATTCTCCAGTATCAGGACGGTTCCAAAATCATCGTCAGCTGGTGATGTGCCCACGTAATCTTAACTTTACCAAGAAATAGCAACGTTATCACAAGTCCTTAGCTGTGGTAGGCTTCGAGAAACGATCCCCACTGATGCCTACAAATGATTTATATGTATTTCGTTTGCACTGAAAAAAGTTTTTAAAACTAACAAGCTTTTTATTTATAATTGTTTCAAAATTAAATTAATAAAAAACATTTTAAAGGAAAATCAAAACTACTTCCGTCTAATTAAAGATACGGTGCTAGAAACCAGATTGTCTATTAATTCGAAGGCACGGGGCAGTTATACCGTTATACCGTTATAACAGTTATACTGTTCCTCGGTCACCTTCCACCGAGAAGCTTTCAATGCTACAATAGTCACACTTCAGAAATCGCGATTTTCGATTTCCGTGGTCAGTGTGACTAAATCTTATCATAACTTAATCCTTATTCAGTAACTTGTACGACATCCCCCTTGTCACCCATTTTTACTCGGTTTGTCATTCTAAACAGGCTAACGTTTACAAACAGTTTATCAGGTCTTTAGCTCTGTTGCCCTGTATTTTCATGCAAAACCCTTTTCACTCTCGAGTTGTTCTTGATCAGTGTTCTGAAATTTTGCGTAACAACATTTTAATTTATTTTTCTAAAGGTCCCTTATCTCTACGAGTTGATGTCCATTTTCTAGTCCAGTATAGAGTAAAAATCGAGACGTTTGTGAATTAATTGAATTTATTAAATGATAAGTTAAAACTGCTCTGTATAACCGAGGTCTGCAAAACAGTTTGTTTCCCAACAATTCGAAAAGATACCTCTGATGAATTGAACACTTTCCAGTACGACTGTATTGCTAAAACATCTTGTTCATCTCCAAAGACCTCGTGTGATTGTGCATTTCATTTTTGTACATTTCAAAGACACGTGTTTGGGGAAAGAAAATGGAATTAATGTGGTGATCAAAGTCAAATGGCTACATTTGACTTCAAATGTTAACATTAAAGACAAAAAAAATAAAGATGAATTGAATTTTAGTCACCACTATCCTGTGCGCGCACCATATTAAAAGACATTATCTTATCCCCCCCCCCCCCTCCGACGCCTCCCTTTTTACACCAAACGATCTCAATGACCTCTTATGTCCGAAACGGAGACATAGTTTTGTAAAAAGCCATGACTTAATACAGCACAGAAGCACCATTAGTGTCTTAAGTCACAGGCCAAATGACAGGCTATAATTTCATACTGTTTAATGGGATCAGTAGTTCACGACCCTCTGACCCGGTCAAGCCAATTGATGTGGACATGGGCGTGCCAGCCGACCACTGGTGACCACTGATACCCTCTAAATCAGTGCTTTATGGTAAATGAGCTGGAAAAGGGTAGGACAGGAAAGGGCTTGGGTCATTTGATACAATGTAACGCTTACATAAAAAAAGGCCAAAAATGGTCGAGATTCGTGCCTTTGCCAAGGGGCAACTTTTTACTTCTTCAAATGTCCTTATTCTAGATTTTGATCATTTTGATTGATTTGTTTTTTTTTTTAATTTTAGAATGGCGACAATTCTCGTGTCGTGAATATAAAACACGATTGTCTGTTTTTTTTAAATTGAATCACCTTTTAAAAATCGAATCTCACTAGAAAGGTATGCCAAATACATGTACCTTGCTGTGATTTGTGAAAATGTGACCACATTTCTATTCATATCCGTCTTGCTGTTTTTAATACTTTTTTAATAAAGCTCATTAATTTACCTATTCCAGTGCGTATTACTTACAGGTGTCCGACCACGTAATTTAATGTTATTTACAACAGCAAAAAAGTCCACGTAGTGCACCTTTACCAGTTATCTTTGATAAAAAATTATGCATAAGAAGAAGCACTGTTTTCATTTGAGCATAAAGATTTGATCTAGTAAAGAAAATATTTAAAATAATTTTAAATGCCTATAGAATGAATAAACAAAAATATAAAATATATAGAAAGCCTTAATAATACATATAAGCGCGTTAAAATATTAGCATAACATCATTTACCATAGATATAGAATGAATTAAAAAAAACTCTTTAAAGAATAATTTTACTACAAACAGACTAAAAAACAAGTTCAAGAGATTCCAGGTACAATAACACCTTGTTATTCTGCTGACAAACGTGTAAACTGAAAAAGCACCTGATATGCTTGTTTTGATGTTCCGAGTCAGCAGAAGTTAGGATTTCAGGGAAACTTAACACCAGCAAGGGCAGTGGATAAAACCATTCATTTGACAACGAATTTTTCTAATTGTAAGTTACGTGGTTTCCTACAAAGAGTGAACTTTAAATGCCCTATACTCGTGTATTGAGCCAAAATGAAAATAGTAACTTACAGTTCACAGAGTAGGCATAATTGAAGTGACCTTCTTGTGTGTTAAATGAATTGGTCAAATCAGATAGAGATTTGGCGGTGTGTTGCTTTCATCTGGACTTCTTCCCCACACCTACAGGTACTTGCACATACATGTTTCACAGCAGAAGCAATATTGTTCATCTTAAAAGACTTTCTAAAACTTTCTTGGTGAGATAAGCATGTGAGATTTACATTATTACAATATTTTTACCTGCAACAATTTATAATAACGTCTTTGAAAATTTTAATCCAATTTAACAATTACTATTTATGAATTCGCGGAACAGTTTCTTTTTCTGCGCCGAAATAAACTCCGCTTTTTAAAGCCAAGATTTGCGTGACAACTTAAATCTACAGTCAGTAAAGATATAAACATTTGGTTAAATTCAAAAACAGGGAGCGTCGACTTTGTTTTTAAACTTGCCCTCACCTTAATGACTTTAAGGTCGAAGCAAATAAACAGTTTGAAAATAAACAGATTTGCTGCTGATAAAACGAGAGGATATTAATAAGGTGTGTTGTTTATGAGGTAGAGTCAAGTGCATGAAGAGAAAAACGCCACGGCAATTTGAAAGTGGTGCGTCACATGTCATCATAGCGCGCATCCTTAAAAGTCGTCAGTGAAACATCTTGAATTTGATCCCTAAATCACGCTCCAGACACGATTAAAAAAAGGGGGATAGGTTCCCGTAGCCTTCGCCTCTGGTGACAGCAAAGTAACCTACATCTTTGAAAAGTCTCTCTGGTACGCCCACCGCAGGCTCAGTACCGGCGGCGTTTAATGTTACAAAGTTGTCCGGTCATCATAGGTTGGAAAGATCAAACTAATAAACACTATTGAACTTCAGTGTCATTTACTTACTGGGGATTCTTCACAAATTAGTCGTTTTTTTTCAGGGGAAGGGGGAAGGGGAATACAAGAGAAGCAATTCGGGGGTGGGGGGTGGAGGGGTAGTACGCGAGTTCTCAGGCATGAATTTCAACGTAATAAAATTATAAATATGCATTTTTATTAATTGCTACTTCTTCGTGAATCTTTTTCGTTAATTTAATTATAAATGTTTTTCCGGGAAAATGTCTCATAAGTTCACGAATGCTTTACCGATTCTCTTCTCACAGGGGTTTCGCGCTGTTTCTCATTTTGCATTATTCGTAAGTTGCTGGGCCTTGCAACTTGTGTAGTTTTTCAGATTCTTTGTAGTTTTTCCAGATTGTTCTAGAGACCAGACTTGACTTATAATGCCAAGTAATGGAACGCACTCTCTATCACCTTTACCCGCGTAAAAATTTAATTAAAAAAAACACGGAGGTTTGTTTTAATGGTACTGGTGATGGTGATGGTGACGGTATCTGCTGATGATATTTAAAACATTTTCCCTTTAGTCCTCCCCATAAAATAATCGACCACTCATTCATTACGTTGTGGACTATTGCATCAATAAGGTTATGACCTGTGAAGATTCCTTCTGACCTTGCCAAGGCCTGTCAACCGGAACATCTGTATTGTCATGGTTTCCTCAATGGGCCGCGGAGAATGGTACAAATACCGCTCTCCCAGCGTACGGCGACAGTACAACTCCAAACACTGACAGCGAAGACAACGCAAGAAGAATCATCAAGAGATCGAATCAAGTCGTACCAAGAGAAGTGGCCATCAAAAGCTAAAGTAAACTAAGAAGAAGTAAAGCAAAGGAAGATAAAAAGAAGATTTGCAAGTTAGTTTTGAAACAACTTCAGCAACAAGAAAATGTTTGAGTGGATCGTTCCTGTAATTCCAGCACTCGGGTAAGTCTTACAACAGGAAACAAAATTTCTTATAAATATTTGAATTCACAAAATTCATAGACAGCAAAAACAGAGAAAAAAAGTATATATATTTTTTACACACACACACAAATATATTTATACACGTCTTGTTTTCATTTCAGGGCTGTGACCAGTATTTCAACGTCCGGGGTTGGTCTGTCCCTCATATCATTCGTACTCCTGCTGTATTTGGCCTGCAAACTATGGCAAATGTACGTTTTGAGCACCACGGACCAGACCTCTAAATTGCCTCTGCCTCCTGGAAGCATGGGCTGGCCTATCATAGGCGAGAGCCTTAATTTCATCTCCAAGGTGAGAAAAAATATCCAGCAATCAAATGAAAATTGGAATGAACGAAAAAGGCTTGTAAAGTAAATTTTAGTCCTCTCTGCGATTTGAGTCCTCTCTCGTTTGTAAGAACGAACTGCAGATAATTTCTGCCTTGTAAAACACTTTTTGATTTACCTTATTCAGCTCATATTCCTTTCATAGAAATACTGCTAGGTTTTAAAAAATTGACACTAAACGCATTTATCATTTTTTAGCCAACTGCATTTTACAACGACAGACGAACGAAATACGGCCGCGTGTACAAAACCCACCTTCTTGGCCAACCCACCATTCGCGTCATCGGCGCAGAAAACGTCCAGAAAATTCTGACTCACGAGGATGAGCTGGTTACTCATCGTTGGCCAAGTAGCACGAGAACCATCATGGGCGAGAACGGTGTTATCCACTCCGGTGGGGCCGAACACAACTCTCGCAGAATTGCCATTGCCAAAGCATTCCAGCACTCAGCTCTCAGTACTTACGTCCCAGAAATGCAGGAGACGGTGCACAATTTCATCCGAACGTGGTGCGACAAGGGGCGCATCCTCGGCTACCCGGAGTGCAGGACCTTGGCCTTCAGCATCACCTCGAAAGTTCTCCTGGGCTGCGACTTCACACAGAGCAAAGACGTCGAGGAGGCCCTTGCCAACTTTGAAGATAATCTATTTTCTTTCCCGGTGAACATACCTGGCAGTGGATTGCACAAGGTAAGAAAAGTATCTCACTTCATAAACTATGAATAAATATAAAGCGAAATGTGATGCGTTTTAAAAATAAAGGATACATTTGGAAAGAAATTTTGATTTATCACCTTTAAACATGTAATATCATCTTTAATATCGACCACAAAGATTAACATTTCTTATAACCGATTTATATCCATTTCTAGGGTATCAAGGCGCGAAATTTCCTTTTGACTAAAATCGATGAATGCATAAGTCGGCACAAGTCTGGAAGTCAGTCCTATCCCAGTGCACTGGGGCTCTTGCTCTCCCAGTCCCCGCAAGGCAGTCTCAGCCAGACAGAGCTCCGAAACATTGCCTTAGAACTGCTTTTCGCTGGCCACCAAACTACCGCCAGCGCCGCCTGCTGCCTGATGATGCACCTGGGCAAGAAAACCGAAGTTGTAGACAGAATCGCCGAAGAACTCTACGACCGTCATCTCTTCCAAGAGGCCAATTTCAATACCCAGCTGAATCTGGACGCTATAAGTGAACTCCGTTACTTGAGCCAGGTGGTCCGGGAAGTGCTGCGTATCAACCCACCGGTCGGCGGCGGCTTCCGAAAGGTTCTCAAGACATTCGATGTGGACGTAAGTTTTTATCGTTATTTTTACCGTTAAAATTAGAAAATGTCACATTTTGCTGTGTTTAGGCTATATGAAGGTAACGTCTAACACCACTGTATATAAATCAGGGTCTATGCACATGGAGGTCTATACACATGGTTCATTCAAAGAAAAAATGTTGACAAGTGCAATGATTGGAATTTTAGTATTAAACCCCCTTTTTATAGCGGCAGTTATAATTTGTAAATAGAATCTGTTTGGGTTTCCAAAGCAAATACAATAAAAACGTTTCCATTATCTTATCACAGGGCATGCAAGTTCCTAAAGGTTGGACAGTGACTTACAGTATTCGAGACACGCACGAGACCACCAACTTCTTCCAACAACGAGACAAATTTGACCCCGACAGGTGGAACGCCATCCAAGGAGACTCCCAGGAGGTGAAATACAACTACCTTCCATTCGGTGCAGGTGCCCGGGGCTGCTTAGGCAAAGAATTCGCCAAACTGATCCTGAAGATTCTGGCAATAGAGTTGGTGAGGAACTGTAGCTGGCGTCTACTGAACGCGTCTCCAGAGATGAAATATCTGCCGGTTGCTTACCCTACTGACAATTTGCCCATAGAGTTTTCTTCTGCACCGCGCCCGCTCAGACCCAGAGCCCTTACACTTTAATTTTCCTTAAACTCAAAATGAAATTCACGGTGAATTTTATATATATATATATATATATATATATATATATATATATATATAAAGTGTGCTTTTTGCGATTCAATGTATTCAACATTCATGTAGCATTAATCGCCATCCGGTTACTTTTGTGATCACTGAAATGCTGTACCATTGCTTCATCAACTTTCGACAAGCAGGCCTATCGTATAGCAATGTATCTTAATAGTATAAGTAATTGGACAGTTGATCGTAAAAGAACATTTGTAACTTTTATGATATATAACTGCAAGCTTTGTTTATAGCTTCAAGTATTTGTACAACGTTCAGTTGGACATGCAGGTACATGACCAAGCACGTCTGCGTGATTGATAAATATTATAGTGTTTTGGACATTAAAACGTATTGCGTGAAAAGCTATGTCAAGTAATGTGACTGTAAAAGAGCCTTCAGTAATGTAAATACAAGTCAGGCATGATGTAAATAGATATATAACGTTCCTACAACAAATGTATTTTTTATACTAACAATTTTGTCAATAATAAATTATTTGAATATAAACTATTTGAAAATTTTGTTTACATTTATCTTTTCATCTATTTAGCTAAATAAGAATGCGTGTTAACTTCGATTAAAATTTGACTTCTGCATAGATTATTGCAGGTAATACCAACTTTTATGATCAGAGAATATATAAAATGATATGTTGCTGAAGTAATCTTTATTTTTT